CTTTGTGCTTGCTGCTCACCTTATTGGTCTGTTTTTTTAATCTCCTCTTTTATCATTTTGAAAATTGAACTGTGCGGATTTTGATTTCTCCTCCTCAATGCCACATTATTAGTCAGCTTTGGAGGAATTAGGAATTTCGGGAGGCATTTTGTTACCTTGTTTTCATATGTTTCTATTGTTCTTTGTTTTGTGCTGAGTTTTGTATATTGATTATAGTGGAAAGACTTTGTTACTATTATGGAGACCTCTAATGTCTGCTTTTTGGTGTCACACTCTGGGCATAGGTAACTGTGGGCCTTTTCCTCTGTCCCAAGATCTAATCACCTTGGTTAATTTGGGAGGGAAGGCTGCAGTGTTTTGGGTCCGGCACCCAGTTCTCTGAGAATGGACTATAGTATTATTGCTTACACAAAGGTAGTCCCAATATTGGCATACAGAAAGAAACAACAGCAACAACTATGCCACCCTGGCAGTAGCAACAAAAATCAGCAACAACAGTGACATTAAAGACAAATTGGATAATGATATAATTGACAGTGTGAAATAGGAAGAAAGGGGCTAAAGGTGTAGGGAAAGTGGTGGGGGGTAGGCGAAAGATAAGGGAAAAGAGAAAAATCCGAGAAAATGAAAAAGTGGAAATGAAATGTTTGTAAATGGGGAGAGGAGGAGGGGGTGAAGGGAGGGCAGGGACAAGGGGAAAAATGAGAACCAAGACCTGTCATGTAAAGGTACAAGATCCCAGTAATGAATGTAACTGTACTGTATACCTAGAATGTACCAGTAAACTCAACGAGAGAGGAAAAACAAAAGACAAATTAGATATTGACATACCCTTAAAAACAATTATATACATCTTCACCCATAGAAAAGAGAGCTATAATTGTAGAATAAACAAGACAAACCAATATTGACATACAGTAAATATCTACTAAGTTTACCAAGTATGCCTCCACTAACAACAGAACAGTATTCAGCAGTAATAGTAGAGAGTTAACTATCTATTATTAAAGATTAATGGTTGTACTAGTAACGATAGAAGGTATGGAAGGCATGGGATTTAGCTCAGTGGTGCTACCACCTGCCTCACAAGCACAAGGACCGGAGTTCAATCCCTGGTACCAAAAAAAAAAAAAAAGGCAGAAGGTGTGGGGAACAGGAGAATGAAAAAAAGTAAAATTTGAAAAATTAAGCAATGGAAGATGAGAAAAAAGTGAGGCAAAGGGTCCTATTAAGGAGTAGAAGGGAATTAATACACTTATTTAAAAGTAACGGAATGGAGCAAACAAGTGAAAGAAGAAGAAAGACAGCAAAACAAAGGAAAAAATGAAAAAATAAGGAATAAAAGATGAAAAGGAAGAAAGAAAAATGGAGAAAGAAATCTTAAACCCCCCAAAAACCAATGAAGGGGGGAAAATGAGTAAAAAAATTCTCTCTGGTTTTTAATGGTTTCTTTGAGTTTTTAGTGGTTTCCTTCCAGGATATGCAGCCCTGGAATCTAGCGAGTCAGGATCTCCTTGGGTGGCTGTGCGGTCTGTGGGTTTGTGAGGTACTCCTCCTGGTCCAGAGGCTCCTCTGTCCATGTGCCCAGACCAGCAGCTCTCCGGGTTGAGCATCTCCTTGCTCGCATCGGTGGGTGGGGAGAACAGTCAGCCCACTGATGTGTGCTAGAGGCAGTGGGGCAGACTCAAGCAGACTGCTAGGCTGCTAGACTGCAGCTACCTCTGGAAGTCACACTAAATGAGTCTTGCTTCTCACAGTGGAGGATGAGGTCCCTTGTCCTTCCTACGCTGAGCTGAAACTTTTCACAGGGTCTATGTCTGGCTCACTCTGTCTCCACAGTGGTCTCTTGTGGCTGGCTCACTCAGTCACTGTGGTAGGGTAACTCAAACCCTGAAGTTCTGTGGCTCAACCTTAAACCATTAAGTCCCTTCCCCAAATGGCTCCTGATTAAACCCTCTTAAATATGGGGAGGGGCTCTGCACTGAATTTCTCCTCTGACTCTAGCCTGCCATGCAAAAGAAGTCATTTGTGGAGTAAAATCCTCTGCTGTTTTTGTAGTTTTCATGAGCCAAGGGTCTTTCTTAGGGCTAGTGCTGCTGGCCTGGTCTTTTGTTTCTCCCTGGAGCTGTGACGTTCTGAGCTTACCTTCTCTACTCAGTCCTTGGCGGTGATCAGGTTAGTTGCTGCCTCTGCTGCTCTATGCTGAGAGGAAATGAAATGCAAAGCACGTCTGGCGTTGTCCAGCAGCTGTGGCCAGGGCGCCAAATCTGTGAGCACAGAGTTGGTCATGGCTCCCCTCTACTTATCTGAATCTAGCTTATTTCACTTAATGTGATGGTCTTCAGTTCCTTCTGTTTTCTTACAAATGAAATGATTTCATTCTTCTCTACAGCTAGATAATACTCCAATATGTACACATACCACATTTTCTTTATCCATTCATCTGTTTATGGGCACCGAGGCTGGTTCCATGTCTTGGTTATTGTGAATTGTGCCGCAGTAAACATGGGCATGCAGGTATCTCTATACCATAGTGAATTTAATTCCTTCTGGTATATATCCAGGTGTGGAATAGCTGGGTCATAGGGTGGTTCTATGTTCAGTTTCTACACTGATTCCCATAGTGGCCGTACTGATTTACCTTGGCACTAGCAGAGTGTAGGAGGATCCCCCACCCAGCCTTGCCAATATGCATGTATGTATGTATTTGTTTATTTATTGGTACCAGGGATTGAACTCGGGCCCTTACACTTGAGAGGCAGGCACTGGAACCACTGAGCTAGATCCCCAGTCCTTTGCCAGTATTTGTTGCTTTCTGTATTCTTGATGACAGTCGTTCTGATTGGCGTGAAATGGAATCTCAGTGAAGTTTTGATTCACATTTCCCTAATGGCTTAAGATGTTGAATATTTTGTCATATGCTCATCTGCCACTTTTTCTTTTATTTTGAGAAATGTCTTTTTAATCCATTCATCTACTTCTTGATTAGGCTATTGGACTTTTTGGGGTGCTAAGTTTTTAGTTATATATGGTCTAGATATCAGTCCTCTGTTGTAAGGGTAGCTGAAGAAGACTCTCCTCCATTCTGTAAGCTATCTCTTCACTCTGTTGGTTGTTGACCTTGTATGCAGACACCTTTTAATTTGATGTAGTGTCATTTATCGATTCCCGCTATTATGTCCTCTGCTGTTGGAGTGCTATTCAGGAAGTCTTTGCCTGTGGCTGTGTGCAAGTAAGTGGCTCTGTCTTCTTATAGAAGTTTCAAAGTTTCATTTCGTATAGCTGTGTCTTGAACTGATTTTTTTTTAACAGAGTGAGAAATAGAGGTCTGTCTTCAATCATCCACATATAGATGCTCAGTTTTCCCTGGATCATTTTTTAGGAATGCTGTCTTTTCTCCATATATATTTTGGGGTCTTTGTCAAGAATCAGATAGCTGTAATTGCATGGGTTTGTTTCTGTATCCTCCATTCTATTCTGTTGATCTATGGGTCTGTTGTTTTGTTTGTTGGGTACTAGACTTGAACTCGGGCCCTTGCCCTTGTGAGGCAGGCGGCAGAGCCTTGAGCTAGATCCCTGGCCCATAGGTCTGTTTTTATGCCATGCTATTTTTGTTACTGTGGCTTTGTGGTATAATTTGGAATTGGATGTTATGATGCCTCCAGTCTGGCTCTTATTGCTTCAGATTGCTTTGGCTATTCTGGGCCTTTTGTGTTTCCCTTGAATGTTAGGATTTTTTTTTCAGTTCTGTGAAAAATATCATTGAAAATTTGATATGAATTGCATTGGATCTGTAGATTGCTTTCAGTAACATGGCCATGTTAACAATATTCTGCAGACCCATGAGCATAGGGTGTCTTCGCCTTCTAGTGCCTGCTTCAGTTTCTTTCTTCAGTGCTCTGTATTTTTCATTGTAGAGGCTTCTCACCTCCTTGGTTAGATTGATCTCTAGATATTTTTTAAAGCTACTATGAATGAATTGGCTTTCTGATTTCTTTCTCAGCTAGTTCACTACTGGTATGTAGAAAAACTATTGATTTTTTTTTTTTTTTTTTTTTTTTT